CAGGACTCCTGCAGCAGCAGCAGCAGCAGGGGGCCCCCTGCTGCTCCTGCTGCAGTGATGGTGTCTTTGCTGCTGTTCTCGCGAGAGGGCCCCCTGGTGGCCCGCAGCAGCAGGGCCTTGCCTGCTGCTGCTCCCTGCGGGCCCCCCTGGGCCTCGCTGCTGCAGCTGCTGTTGGGGGGGGCCCCCCAGAAGACCCAAATCCTTATGATGGAGCAGCTGGGGGCCCCCCTGCTGCTGCAGCTGAAGTTCGCTAGGGTTTATCTGTACCCTCCTGTGCTTGTTTCCCAAGCAGTGCTGCAGGTGCTGCCGAGGCCCCGAGGCCTCCGTCGTTTTGCAATTCAGCATCCCTTTCTGTCGCTGCTGCTGCTCACGCTGCTGCTGCTGGTCTTTGCTGCTGCTGCTGCTCTCCTCTGCTGCGCCTGCTGCTGCTGCGGCTACTTGCTCTTCCTAGTCAACCAAAACGCCCCACAGCCGCACCTCTTCGAAACCCAGCAGCAGCACCAGAGGCCCCCACTGGGGGCCCCCAAAGGGGGGCCCCCTTGGGGGGCCCCCACAGGGGGCCCCCCCCAGCGTGGGGGCCCCCAGTGTGGGGGCCCCCTTGCACAAAACATGGAAAGCAGTCTCATTTGGAATAGGCTCGGGGGCCCTCCAAAGGGCCTCGGGGCCCCTCAATAGTTCTAGGGGCCCCCAGGCGACTCCTGGGGGCCCCTAAGAAATTCCTGGAGGCCCCCAAAGACTCCTGGGGGCCCCCCAGGGGGCCCCTGTGGGACTCCGTGAGCCTCCAAGGGTGTCCTAGGGCGCCCCGAGGGGCCCCCGGGAGTCTTTTGGGGGCCCCGTAGGGGCCCCCTGGGGCCCCCACGAGACGTGGGGGGGCCCCAGGTGCCCCAGAAGAGGGTTATGGGGATAACTGCAGAGTTGTTTGCATTTCGTTGGCTCCCTCCGAGCACTGCGCCTCCTCTTCCTTTAAAATTGCCATTGTTACCATTGCAATTATCCCTAAGTGCTATTGTTATTACTATTTTGTTCCTGCTGCTGCTGCTGCTGCTATTGCCACTGCGGCTCTTATTACAAGTCCTCCAAAGAAAAACCTAAAGAACTGCTCTGCTGCATCTTTTCCCCAAAAGGCTTTTAGCCGCAAAGCTTAAAAGCTGTTTAACTTAAATTAAGTTCCTCAGGGGCCCCTTGAGACGGGCGCGGGGCCTCTGGGGGCCCCTGGGGGCCCCCCTGAGACTGTCAAGGGGGCCCCACGGGCCCTGGTGGCCCCCCTTGAGCAGCCACGAGGCCCTAGGTGCCCCAGGGGCCCCATATGCCCCCCTTGAGACTGCACAAGGGGCCCCGGGGGCCCCCACGAAACAGCCAGAGAGACCCCGCGGGCCACCAAAGGCCCCTAGGGGCCCCCGAAGGCCACCAGGGGCCCCCGAAGGGTCCAAGGGGCTCTCGACGGGTCCCAGGGGCCCCCGGGGGCCCCTGGGGGCCCCCAGATGCCCCCCGAGACTGCCTGGGGCCCCCTCTGGCCCACCCCGCACTCCCTCTTTATGCACTAAAGCCAAGCGACTTGGAATCCAGCCAGTTGGAGGTCGCCCTCAGCTGTTCAGCAAGGGTTTAGGGTTTAGGACAGCCTCTAAGGCTAGGGTTTAGGGTTTAGGCTCTAGCCAACCCGGATCTCGGGGTCATTCACATAGTCGTGGTAAACCAACTTCGCGTCCTCAGGAACGCCTGCAGCAACCACAAACCCTAAACCCTAGCCCCAAACCCTAAATAAACCCTAGCCACCAAACCCTAGCCTGTAAACCCTAAGCCATGGCTGTCAACCTCAAAGCCCAAACACCAGCCCCTGTGGTCAGCGTGCGCCCCACTCAAGCCCGCAAGACTTCCTCCAAACCCTAAACCCTAAAGCCTAAACCCTAAACCCTGCTTGCCTTTTCTTGTGAAGTACTTAAACGCTCTCTGATAAATTCGGGTTTTCTTTAACTCGTCAAACGACAACTTCTCGTTCGTCAAGTCCTCGCTGTCTGTACACCTCAAAGCAGCAGCAACATGCAGCAGCAGCTGCAGCAGCAGCTGCAGCAGCAGCAAGCACCAGTAGCAGCAGTGGCTGCTGCTGCTGCATCTACCAGTGAGACAAAAATGCAGCAGCAGAGCAGCACAGCAAATCAAAGCGCCGCAGCAGCAAAGCAGCCAAGCAGCAGGCAGCAGCAGCAAACGGCGAAGTGGCCCAAACAGCATCCAAATAATGAAAAATGAACTTAAATGAATTTAAAATGGATTTAAATTAATTTTAAATTAATTTAAATTAATTAAAAAACCAATTCACCTCTAAATGCATAAACCCGCACCAGCTTCCCCCGGCGACACTCAAATAAACAAATTTGATTTTTCCCAGACTTCACTTCCTCGAAGTCCAGGCAGAAGGAGTGCTCCTGCAGCACGCCAAACCCTAAACCCTAGACCCTAAACCCTAAACCCTTAATTGTAAACCCTGGAGCTGGCAGGCGGACAAAGACTCAAGAGCCCGCAGTCAGCCGCCTCCGTCTGGGCTCTTCAAAGTAGTCAGAAGGGTTCTGGGTACACAAGGGTTTAGGGTTTACAAGGGTTTAGGGTTTACAAGGGTTCAGCGTTTAGACTCACTTTGTTCTCCTCCGCTATGAGGCGCTTGGTGACACGTACTGAGCTGTGCGAGTCCAGTAAGCTGTAGAAAACAAACCCAAACCCTAAACCCTAAACCCTTCTCTGCACACCAATGCCAAGCCGTCTCTGGAGCTGCGAACCCAAACCCTAAACCCTAAACCCTAAACCCTCCCTACCTGTTAACGAATTCCTCTCTATTCGCTGGGGCGCCCTGCCTGTCTTCAGAGTAAAAGTCCTACGGAGGCCAACAAACCTTAAACCCTAAACCCTACACCCTCATCCCCGCCACCTTCCGCAGCATACCGCGCTCTCCCAGTTAACCCTAAACCCTAAACTCTAAACCCTAAACCCTAAACCTACTTTGGAGCAGAGCCAGCTCAAAAACACTTTTCTGTTTTCCTCCCGCTTTCTTGGAGGCATATGGCGGGCCTCTATGAGCCTGATGGCAAAAACCCCTGAACCCTAAACCCTAAACCCTAAGCCCCAAACCCTGAACCCCAGAGTAAGCCCTGCTTGCTGGCAACGAAACCCTGGAGTAGGGTTTGCAGTTTCGAGGTCCCCAATACCTTAAGCGCGCGGCCCCCCGCGGCCCGCGGAGAGCGCAAACCCTAAACCCTAAACCCTAGAGCAGCGGACGGACCTGTCGGCGAGCATGCTTGCGGTGGTGCCTTCGTCTTGCTGCCTCGCGCTGCTGCTGCTCCTTCTTCTCTCTCTGCTTCTGCTTCTGCTTCTATTTCTTTGTCTTTCTCTGTCTCTGCTTCTTTCTCCATTTCTTTCTCTTTCTCCATTTCTTTCATTTCTTTCATTTCTTTCATTTCTTTCTCTGCTGCTTCTCCTTGCTGGGGACCTCCCCTGCATCCACTTCCCCAGGGGCCCCCCTTGCTGGGGGCCCCCTGGGGGCCCCCCGGG